CCCCCTTCTTCGTCACTCCTTTCGGTCGGTAATTAGGATAGCGCATCAGCCCGCGGAGCATACCTGCGGGCAAGCCAATGAAGTCGAGCAATAAAAAAAGAAAAAGAATGTCGGGGAGGAATTTTTGCTCACACTCTATACGTGCCATTTTTGCGCAGGGCCGCGCCGATCCCCTCGGCATCATCCCAGCCTCAACGGATGTCCCGAGGGACCCAAGCCTTGGCAGCGCCGCCCCCCCCCCCGACTTCTCATGATCTGTCCGACCACAGTGTAGCCTTGTCTTAGTGCACGCACCTGGCCTTCGTTCTAGGACTTATGGGCGCCAGCCTTGCGCAGGGGCCACGCTAATCTTCTCTGTATCGTTCCAATTTTAACGGATGTCCCGAAGGACTTTGCACCGGCCAGCGCCCGCTCGACAACCAGCCGGCCTGAGGGCCCTTCGGATGGAACCAGGTATTAGACGGTTCGATTAGTTTTTGCCCCTATACCCAAAGTCCGACGAATGATTTGCACGTCAGTATCGCTGCGAGCCTCCACAAGAATGCCCCGAGGACCTAGCCGGGGCAATGCCCCGCAGCTCTCCCAACGGGTGTCACCTTTTTTTTTTTTTTTCTTCGGCATCCCGTACACGTACCCGGCCCGGATTCGTACCGGATTCGCCTTGGTCTGCGCTTCAGCAGTTCAGGGGCGTACTCACTGAGCTAGGCTCTTGGGTGCCTGCTACACCCACGACACCTCGCTTTAAGTAAAACAACGTCGGGCGCAGCTCCAGCGTAGTTTCAAAACCAGTTTGCGATTGCACTTCAGGCACCCCGCAAATACAACACACTCCACGCGACCCTGCCGCCGTCTCACGTCCCCGAACGAGATGCGATAAAGAGAAACCGACAAGGGAAAAATAAGATAAAAATAAACCTAGTATTTATCTGGGGACAGCGAGCCAAACAGAGGGGGATAGCCCTACCGGGCTCTCGACCCCTCGGCTTCTTCCGCGTCACTCCACTGCTCCCGCGCTGATGCCCGCCGACCTCGATCCCCGTACCGTCGCAGTGTCAGTCCAATGTCGTAACCKATAGGGCTAAGCCCAAGCCTGGCACCAACAGGCACATACCTCCTAATAAAGAGGTAGTCCCTGACTCTTAGGGCCAAGGAACCGCCTTGGGCCGCTTCTCGGCCCGCGCCTGTAGGCATGGCCGCCGAAAAAAAGAAAAAGAAAAGAAAAAAAACTCGCGCCGGCCCACTGGTCGTGCCACGGCTATCCCTATTTGGCCGTATCTATCACTGTCGATGTCGTCGCCCTCGCACACGCGCTCGCCTCGGTCAGTCATACCAATCAACAAAAAATATCTCAAAACCCTGCTTGATCAAAAATAAATATTAATAATATTATTAACCAACGAACAATGTCCGCTGTCGGCTTTATGATAAAATAACAGAAAAGAATCACGCGCGCCTTAAACCTACGCGCCCACGCACTCGCTATTGCGGTCAACCACCCTGTCAAAGCAATTACTGACGCAGCCGCGCTTAGCGCGGTATACTTAGACTCTATACCAAACTATTTTCTGTCACTTGCAAAAACCAGGGCGGATACCCTTGTAAGGGTATTCGCACCGACAGCCTACCGGACCATATTAAGCGACGTCCCCGTCGCTTCGCCAAATATGAAAACTATAAATCCATTCACACTCCAAATGCTGACGAAAGAGGTGAGCCAATCCGATTAGCCGATAAACACAGGGTAGAGGCCTCCATCAAACCATGCCTCCACAACTATATGCTGCCAGGTTTCTAACCTGGGCCTCACACCGTTCAGAAATTAGGACACTGGCAGCATAAGTTTCAAAGACCTTCCCAATCGTCCTCTCCCCGGTCCTAGACAACCTTCGGCTTCTCGTTGGGTGTCCCTAGTCCTGGCAAAAACTAGAGACGCGGGCCTTAACCGAGACCTTTGAAGGCACTCTCGCCTTCCTTCTCAAAATCTCTCGCAATCAAATACATATAAGTATATATATAAACTTAATATCCACTCCGCTCTTTCTGCAGTCTAGTACAGAAAG